CTTACTTACAGGTATTTACTTACAGGTACTTACTTACAGGTATTTACTTACAGGTACTTACTTATTTACTTACTTACAGGTACTTACTTACTGGTATTTACTTACAGGTATTTACTTACAGGTACTTACTTATTTACTTACTTACAGGTACTTACTTACTGGTATTTACTTACAGGTACTTACTTACAGGTATTTACTTACAGGTACTTACTTATTTACTTACTTACAGGTACTTACTTACAGGTACTTACTTACAGGTATTTACTTACAGGTACTTACTTATTTACTTACTTACAGGTACTTACTTACAGGTACTTACTTACAGGTATTTACTTACAGGTACTTACTTATTTACTTACTTACAGGTACTTACTTACAGGTACTTACAGGTACTTACTTACAGGTACTTACTTACTTACTGGTGACTGAAAAGTGTCTCTGCATTTCCCTTCTCAAAATGAGTTATCTCTGAATTTAAGCATCAACTGAGAGTTTGTTCAACATATTTTCTGGAATAAACCCCTGCCTTGCACTTACAGACTGGATTAAATTGATAACGTAACAGGGATTATTAATTTATATTTACCCCACTTTGTTTTGTCATCTCAAACAGATCGTATTCTGAATGACAAAAGTGTATCTAAAGCTTATTTTAAAAAAACGAATGCCTGTCATATAATCTTAAAGTGTACATCTTTAATGACATTGTTGGATTTTTTTACAGGGAAAACTTTGACAAAAAGGTAAATTGTCAAAAAAAATCTACGTGCATTCATTGAAACTAATATTTCAGTCTAAACATCACATGTAAAGCCCACTTATATCAGGTTTTTAGATTTGGTCACATTGTCATTCAAATAAATCATATATATTAAATCAAAGTGAGATTTATTTTTCTTAAAAACAAAATTAATAATTCCTGAAAGTTTTGAAAAAAATCTATTTAGCTAACAGACAAACAATAAATGGAAACTTTTTAAAGATGGATCTCGAACATCGGTGAGCGTCAGAATGTTGGGATTGGGCTCAGGTACAGTCACATTACATTTCAGGTCAAACTGCCCTTTTCGTGTTGTTTTAGGGTCAGTTAGCTGTAGCATAGCATGGCTTCAAAGGGTTAAAAAAAGATTTATATCCAATGATGCTGCGAGTTTCAGTAAAATCAATCTTGAAGTCCAGAAGTTTGTTGGTGAACATATACACAAACACAAACTCTGAAAAAAAAAACTTTATCTCCAAGTTTTTGTCTTTGAGTGGTGAGTGATGAAAACCAACCAACAGAAGAACAAAAAATAACCCCATATTAAAAACTGTCAGTGAGAAGTTCAGAAGTCATCGTGGCCAGTTAAATGTTCTTCCACTTATCTGGTAAAACTTCTGATTGAAGGGGTGGAAGAACTTTTGCAGTTTCATCGTCGCTAACTGGTCCACGTCAGGATGAGTGCGGCCTTTGCTGCCTGCCAGGCACTTGTTGGAGACCAGATTAAACCGGAGACAGTAGAACCCCCGCGTGGCGTTGAAGTACAGGTTATACTGATTAATTCTGGACGGGAGGTTTAGGAAGCGCTCGACGAGCTGCAGCTCCGGCAGAGGGTCTGTGATGAGGCGATCTCCGTCTACAATGTGAAACTGCTCCACTGGAAAATAGTTCAGCCAGCGCTCCAGGTGTTTTGTGTAGATGCTGGTCTGAACAGCTTTATATTTAGTGTTCACCTCACATGTGCTGGCATCAATGGCCAGGTCTTCAAACCTGTGGTAGGTTTTGTTTTTGCGCTCCTTCCCCTCCAGCACCTGAGTGTAGTCAGATATGGCTCGAGTCGTGGGTTCTCGGACGATGATCAGCAGCTTAACGGACGAGTTCATCTTGAAGATGCGTTCAGGAACCTCCTCTGTGACGAAGTAGGCGGGGCTCTTTTCAATGGTGATCTGATGGGGGAAGGAGAAGGGCATTTTCTCTCTGTACCAGTTGATGCCCCGGGCGTAGTTTCTGTCATTGTCAAAGAAGTGGATCTCCTGTGAGGCCTTGATCACCGCCGGATGCAGGTTGAGCATTTCCAGCAGAGCCCGGGTGCCCCCTTTACGCACCCCAATGATGATGGCCCGAGGCAGCTGCTGGACCAGGTTGTGTAGGCRGATTTGTTCTTTTGTCGCATTGCCCTTACGGAGTTCATGAAGCAGTCCACGGTTAAACTGCAGACTGCGGAGGGGGATTAGTTCCGGCTCAGTGGGCTGAAAACTGCTCTCAGTGGGACAAACTGGCTGAAATCTGAAGGAGAGAAGAAAACACACAATATTTACTAAAGTACAACACATTATCAGCGTCAGAGTACACACAGTATTTACTAGAGTACAACACATCTCATTGGCTCTGTGTGAAGAACTAGTTGTTTTACTATGCAGCAACATAACACTTGTAATAACTGGCAATGAGTCATTAATATGGATGCAAAGCAAAGGTGTCCAATCCTGGTCCTCAAGGCTGCCATCCTGCATGTCTGAACATTGATGCCTTGTGGTTATGGTTATGGTGAGTGGGGATGGATATAAAATCCATATGAGCGGAGGCCTCCTAAGTGGGCCCATTGCTCTCCCCAAAAAGATACTGGTCTTCATTCAAACCTTCTCGTCCCTTGGATGAAGGACACCAGGTTAGAAACACTCAGTGTTCTGAGCTTCTCAGGATCCATACAGGGATCCCCAAGAATTCTTTTCCTTTGACCACTCAGAGCCAGGCTGTGGCCTACGTAAGTAGTGCGAGGAGGTCTCAACCAGTGTATTTAGAGTTTTCCTTGTCAGGGCAATGAGACCTTTCCCAAACCTTAGATTTGGGCCGTTAATCAGTTCCCGTGCCTGTCTACAGTCCGTCAGCTCCCTCCAGGGGATTGAGTGTTGACGTCTGCCTGTAGGGCAGTCCTACAGACTGTTGTTGAGGTACCTACAACAGGCTCTGGTCCTTTGAAGTGAGCCTGACTGCCAGCTTTTGCGAGGTAGTCAGCTCTCTCATTACCATAAATGCCAGTATGTCCTGGTACCCTTTTAACAGTAACACTGTTATCTCTCCCCAGTTGGTTCACTGCTTCGGCACACTCCCAAGTCAGTAGTGATGTGAACTGCGGCCCTTGGAGAGCTTTAATAGCAGCTTGGCTATCTGTTAGGATGAATATTTCTTTCTGTGTACACTGAAGGTCTTTGAGAGATGACTGATGGATTGCAGATATCTCAGCTTGAGATACAGTTGCAAAACAACCTAGTGGGTATTTATGCTCTCTCTTACCATGGTTGTGTAAAATAAGCACCCCTGCACCTACTTACCCCTTCAGAAGGGATCCATCTGTAAAACAGTAGAAATGATTGGGAGACATGTCCGTCGAAGAGAGGTTAATCCAGACAGACCTGTCTTCTATCTCTGTCTTCAAACTTGGCTCAATATTGTATTTTTTGACCATTCTGTCTCCAAGTCCTGCAGTTACTGGAACAGCGCAACTGCCCAGTCCCAGATTCTAGTGTGCTGCGAGTCAGATAGGTTTTTCCACCTACCAGACTGACATAGTCTTACTGCACCGGATGTGGCCTTCCCTAAGATATGTAAATCTAGTAGAGCCAGGTCCAGTAGGACTTCCATGGCTGCTGTGGGTGTTGTTCTGATAGAACTTGAGATGCTCAGGCAGGCCATTCGTTGCACATGGGTGAGCATCACTCTTGCCACCCCAACTTGGACTCGAACCCACCACAGCATAGCATAGCATGGGGTGGACTATGGTCGTGTAGATCCATCTGATAACCTTTGGGGTAGCACCCCAACGACTACCTGCAATTCTACGACACTGATGTAGGCACATTACTGCCTTCTTACACTTTTCATTTACATGTCTTTTCCAGTTACATTAAGCTTCCTGTCTAGACGGACACCCAAGAATTTAACTGACTCTGACAGGGAGAGTTCTACACCCTCCAACTTTGGAGTTGAGTAACCTTTCCGTGACTTCTTATGAGTGAAAAGAACCAATTCTGTCTTATTTGGATTGACAGAAAGTCCCTGCTCCCAGCACCATCTGGATACTATGTATGGCCTGATGGATAGAGCTTCATCAGAGCTACAGTAAACAACCAAAAAAATCTGAAGCTTCTATGTTGAACAGTTACTGAGTTATAAGCATTTTTACATGTCCAGACACCCCCTCTTTGGATGGAACCCCCTCCTCAAATATGGGGTTTATCGGAAAACCGTTGGCTGGTGCAGTGTAGGTCAGACTCAACTACAGTCCTGCCAAATTTCATGTTGATTGGTGCAGCCGTTTGTGTGCTACGGTTGACCAAAAATCACTGAAAAATAAATAAACAAATAAAATAAATAAATAAATCGTAAGAAAACAATATGACCCCCACTTCGCGTGCGGGGGTCAAAATAGTAGTCAGTTGTTGACATACAAAAGTACATCTAATAAATTATTTTCCATGTGATTCACTTCATACTTTGGTACAAGCTCATCTTTCCACCTTAAATGCACAGTGTGTAGTATTTTGTCAATTCTTTTAGCCGAAATTGAGATAATCACTAATGACAATAATAAAAAACATGTCTAATCATTGCAGACAAAGACCTTGTTTTATTATTTTTACCTTATAAAAAGCTTTTTATATCTCCATGGTTG